GAGAGAGAGAGAGAGAGAGAGAGAGAGAGAGAGAGAGAGAGAGAGAGAGAGAGAGAGAGAGAGAGAGAGAGAGAGAGAGAGAGAGAGGAGGGGTGTTATATCGTTGGGTTGTTTAGCAGTCGTTAGGTTCTGGTATCCGAGGGAGGAACAAAACGAGTCAGCTGTGGGTGTCCATCCCTGCTGTTGTTGTCCTTTACTTGTAACGTAGTCTTGCTGTGCCTTGCATGATTGCAGGTGCTATCCAACTTAGAAGGAACATAACTTTTGTGCTTGTGTCCCCACGTGTGTGTGCGCATTTGAAACTGGGACTGTCTGATTGGGGAAACCCGAGGGAGAGAAGTCACGTGGGTGGGTGGGTGGGTTTGGACCTTTTGTAATTAACGTAGCAAGGGGAAATGAAGTGGTCGACTTCTGTGTTCATTTGGTGGCATAGTTCACACACGTTGGATGAGGTAGTGACCTGACCTGATGAGTTAATAAAGGCGAGAGGAGATGAGATGAACTAGACGAGCTATAAAGGAGAGGAGATGAACAATGTCTGATGGTTTGTTTCCCTCCTTCCCCCACCTGACCTCTTACTTGGATATATGCCCTACGTCCATTGGACATTAAATTAGGAAATAAGCAACGAGCGAGTCAAACATGGTGAATGAGGCGTGTGACCTGACCTGACGAGCTAAGGACAGATGAGATGAGATGAGATGAACGGTGTCTGATGGTTTCCCTCCTTCCACCACCCGACCTCTTACTTGGATTTATGGCCTTTACTTCCATTGGACATTAAATTAGGAAATAAGCAACCAGTCTTCCATAAATTAAAACTTATGAAACCTGACCTGACGAGCTAAGAAGGACATATGAGATGAGATGAATGGTGTCTGATGGTTTCCCTCCTTCCCCCACCCGACCTCTTCCTTGGATATATGGCCTTACGTCGATTGGACATTAAATTAGGAAATACTAAATAAGTAACCAGTCTTCCATGAATTAATTATGAAAAATGAAACTAGATTTTGAAGCTCAGCAACTTCGGATGTCTGTCCGCTCTGATAAATTGCTCACATTTGTTCACTCACGATAATACGAAGTATTCGCATTGCCTTGCTTTTTTGGAGATCGCAGTTTTTAACTTCTTACTGATTCTCGTCATGAGTGTCGGGAGTTGAGAGCAGGGAGAATGGCCACTGTGGCGCTCCGTGAGCATTGGCAGGGTTGGGGTGGCAAGCTGTGCAGCGCTCCGTCAGCACCATCAGCATTGTGCTCGTTTGGGTATGCAAGCTGCACGACCGAAAGCACACTTTGTGGCGTGACCATCTGCTGCTGCCGGGTATTCTCTTGATTGTGGGAGATTCCCATTCGCCCCTTCGATGCCTTGTACCACTCACAAGTGAAACATGGGCAATCAATCTTGAATGGGTCCTGGCCTGGTGCGGCGACAAGCGGAGCTGCTGCACAGTGCCCAGGCATAGAGAACATGGGCAACTGGGGAATCCTTTCTGGTGGTACCGAGGCACGGAGAACATGGGCAAGTGGGACTCTTCTGGTGGTACCGAGGCAAGGAGAACACGGCAAATGGGACGCTTGTGGTGGTACCTAGGGACTAATGGGCGAATGGAATTTTCGTGGTTCTACCTACGAACTAAACGGCTGGATTTGATGGTCGGATTTGGGAATAAACGGCTGGATGTGGTGATTGGTTTCAGAACGACGAGCTGGATGTGATTATCGATGTGAGAATAAATGGCTAGTTTTGACTGCACGACGTTTATGGGGTAAGTGGATGGAAAATGGAAGGAGAGAAGGTGAGAAGGGAGGTAGGTGCTTTTTGGCAATTGCCGATCGAGGGAGGTGCTCGTTTCGATGTTGCATAATGGTGTGCTATCATGTTAATTTTTTGGGTGCAGACATAAGAATGTACCTCTGCGTGTGTGTGTGTGTGTGTGTG